TGGTAGCGGCAATGATGCCAAAATCACCAAAGCTATCAGGCATCATGTATTGGTAATGGATTTATGTGATGTTGTCTCCAAAGCATATCATTTTTACACAAAATGGTAGATTCTACTCCAAACTAAACTTTCTAGTTTGGCATATATAATATATGACATGATACTAACATGTGTACGGTTTGATATATTTTTTCATGCAGAATTAAAATCAGAAATGTTTACCCATTTGTTGATTTTTTTTCAAAACACATTGTTGGAATTAAATGGATTTTTCCACTGTAGAATCCACTAAAAAACCATAAGCAGAGAAACAATTGCTAATTTTGCTTTTAGGCCATTTTGGAAAGCTCTCCTTTTATTCAAAATGCTGTTTTTTGTTTTAAATATCGCAATTTCACTTTAAATTATCACAATCAGACTGATAATATTGACATATATACCAACACACAATACAATAAATACAAAAGAACGCAAACCTTTCAAAACAACTTAAAAATTAGAAACGTCATCGTCAAATAATTAATATATGCATCTGAGACTCGTCGGTGATACTAGGGGCGTTAACTACTGGTAAATCAAATTAATAGAAATAAATGCCAAAATATAACAGAGAAGATGCACTTACCCAAATGATTTGTTGAATTCTATCATTTTCAAAACTGGATGATTTCAAAATTATGTCAAGTGCATGTGCACTTTCTGAACCGTGCATCTGATTAATTAATTTAAAACATGATATGCGTGATTAGGGAAAGTTCCTGGAACTGCAATCACAAAAACCCAACAACAGAAAAGAAACCAACAACTAGACAGTCCTACAGGTAACTTGCATTTGATAAACGATTTATTTGTTGTTTTAAAGTGTGTCGTACACAGATTAAAACCAGCTACAAATCTCACGAATTTAGCAGTTACAAAGCTGAGAGGAAAGTACTGGAAAGGTGAAGTAATACTGCAAAGAAATTCTTTCAGTGTCCCACAGGTAGGCATTTGGCTAATCTGCAATTACAATCAATATTTCTGTTTCTAACAAAGGATATAGGTTACAGATGTACACGTGGGACCACAGGTAACCCTACATTACCTGTGCACCGAAATTCAGATATATGCAGTTAGCCTACACTCCATCAAAAGCCGACCAACCTTGAATAGTTAACTTTGGAACGTTATGATAACAAGGATATTCTAACTGATAGGATTTTTTCCATGGCACACAGGTATGTATTTCGCTATTCTGCAATTAGAATGATTGTGTCCATCTGTTGACAGACGACAAATTTCTATTTCTGCGGGGAAAATGACATCTCTTCTAACATATTTTTCAAATAAAACCTTTTTCCCATGGGATTTGTTACAAACACCGTGGGTAAAAAGGTTTGAATGAAACAAGCGTGTTTTCTTTCGAAATTATAAAAAAATATTCACATTTTATATAATAAGAAATAAATGTTTGACCCTAGTTTGTTTAGATACAGAGATAACCTCCTACACAGGCGCTGGTCGATTTCTCATACCTTGGACACTTCTACCTACACTAATCTGACATAAAAGTGGGTTTCCCATTCATTACAACTATATGACGTGTTCTATTTGGTAGCAAATTATTTTTTCGGACTGTCTTCCGTAATGTCGGCATAGGTGCTGCCAACGCTTCAAATTTTAGGCCGTTGGTATCACTGACGAGTCCTAGAAGGATGAAACAGCTGTATAATGCAGTTTAATTCATTGTTTGGCTCTACTGTATCTCAATCTAAACTATGAAAAAGGTGCTATTTACTTGTGTGCCTTCTGTACAATCTTAAAGTTTGTATGTGGTAGACACTGCTGGTGGACATTAAGTCCCCGAGGTTTGTATGTGGTAGACACTGCTGGTGGACATTAAGTCCCCGAGGTTTGTATGTGGTAGACACTGCTGGTGGACATTAAGTCCCCGAGGTTGCCGTTATCTGTTTGCTACGTTTAAATTCACTTGAATATTACGGAAAGTTGCTATTCACTTGTGTGTCTTTTGTACAATTTTCCAGCTAATGTTATTTTTTCTTTTAACATTTTCATGTTATAGTACCATCAATGGCAATACAATATATAGGCCTACTCTTGATTCTTCATCTTTTAGATTAAAAATGTCCAAATGGTTTATATGTTGAGTGAACTGAACAAATGCTAAAACACGCGTCAATAACATGTTTCTGCACCATCTTTTTCATAAACTATAATTTTTCTACCTTCTTGAAAATATTTTGATTGATTGATTTATTTATCTAAATTACTTATTTTTAATCAAATTGGTATTGCTATATTTATATATAGATTTTGAATCGTGGAAAGATTTTTCGAACTACTCGCGTTTAAGTATCAATGTCATATCTGGCTTTTTGTCGTCCTAGGTAACATGAAAGACCTGGGAAAAACCGAAAGATTCCGTAAATATTATGTCAACATGATGTCAAGATGTAACTTTTCTAAACGAGAATTTATGAATTATCAATATGGTCTTTAATATAAGGAATATACAATGTCAATTCACCAAATGCGTAAACTGGCTTGTTTTATGTACGATTGAAAATAGTTTATATGCAAGACAGTTTTGCTTACATAGATATCGGCCCTTGATGTATATGATATGACTTTAAAGTCACTATTTGTTCTGTATTTCCAATTTGTGGCGTAAATCATTCTGAAAGCAAGAAAATGGGTACTCTGCAAGTATCCGACTCACAACACAAGCCTCTAAATGTGCAAACTTTGACCTTGTCATAAAATCATCGTACTAAGCTTATTCAAACAAAGCTATGATAAACGCGATAACAGTGTTTGTTTTGGGAGTGGATGATTTTGTAGAAAACAACCGGGTGGTAAACGCTGTCGTCAAAAACCGTTGGACAGTGTTAGTTATAAGACATTTTACTGAAATATAAAATAATTAATTTTTCTTTTTTTCTTCATACAAAATGCTGCAATCTGATTGTTCTAAAAAAATTCATACCTCTATGAAAAAAAAAAAAAAAACACGCCTCCTCTTCGCCGGAACTGCGTGTTTAACTTCTGCCAAAAACAGTTTTAAGTAAAACAATGAACTTTTCCATCCAGTATTCCTCGCTTGGGTGAGCTATGAAAGATGGCCGACGTCTTCCCGCTGATCCGATCAGCTGACACGCACGCGCTCATTTGCATATTCAGTTCATGGTTATTGCGCATATATAAAGTGCCACTATTAAATTCGTTTAAAATTTCCTTTTACGTTTTATTTTAAACTCGATGGATTTAAAATTAATTATAAGCGTTGGTGTCATTTTTTTTTGTAGTTTCATAGGGATATGAAAAAAATTGTTTGCAAACTGTATGAATCCGTGTAGCGTAGCGTATATACAACCACAATAAGTTTAGTATACATATATGCTAGTATAGCAAATTATTAAAAATCGACATGATATACACTATTATAGTGTAAATTACAAGACAACAAGGTTGATTAAGAAAAATATTATGTGAAGATATTTATTACAAACAAAGGGTTAGAAACTATGCTGCAAGTTATCAATACATACAACGTTATGCAAATTAAAGGTTAGACTAAATCAGTAAGTTAATTCCTATCAATAGATTATGATACATAAAACCAGAGAACCAAGCAATACAATAAAAGCAAGTGAAACGGTTGGTTGCCACATCTGTCTTTCATTCCTGGGGACGTAATGATTCCAAAGTTAAGAGATTGTGCAAATATTCAGAAGCTATATTGGTAAAAGATAGATTAGTTCTTGCTGAAAGCTCCAAAACTGACGTTGTGTAATTTTCTTCAATAAAATGGCTCTAACTTGTATCTTTTCCATGTTCATTGCGGAATTTTATAAACAAAAATGCCATTCCATGGGAAAATAATAATAAAAAAAAGTATTTAAAAACAAATCTAAGAATTTACCCAAGCTAGTTCGTGGAAATTGTCAAGTATACTTAAAGTCGCACTGTATTTGCAAAATAAGAATGAATATTGGCTGTGATTGAAATCCCACATTTAATCCTTCATTCGCATACATCAATATATATTCCTTTCGATATAAGTAACAACAGTATTAGCATTTGCAGAAAAAAATACGCCAACTGTGTATCATATTTTGACAATTTTGAAGAAAATGCAAAAGTTTGGAATTTAAATAGATTCTTACTTAAAACAAATCACATAAATATATGCAACATATTCATGAAACCATGAATATTACAATAATAGACATATTGATTAGTAAGGTTTTTAAATCATTACATTTAAACAAAAGGTAAAATAAAATTAGCATGTAGTATATAACAAAATGCATATGCCTAATTTAAATTACGAACAGAAGAAAAATGTACACTGAAACCCATGAAAAAATACAGGGAGAACAAGACCGCATGTTCCAGAAGGATAAGCGTCCTCTGGTTTATTGCCGACTAGTATCAAAGACGTCGTAAATTCATACCGCAAAAGGAAATAGAATACACCACAACATGGTCGTTTTGACGGCTATATTCAATATATGCACGTATCCTCGGTACTGTACTGTGGACAGGATAGAGCTTCCTCCGAAGTGACGGGAAAACACAAGGCCGAGACACAGTATAAGAAAATCCCGATAATTGTCGAGTTTCACGATCCCGACTATTTGACTTTTTGAACCCCGAGTAAGGAGAGTTCCATTCGAAAACGAGGCGCAGAGTGTCAAAACTTCCCTTTCAACATGGCCTCAAATGTAAATATGCGCGATATTGATATAGAAGATGTAACCCTGGTAAAATACTAGCCGCAATATACTACGTTGCTAGAGAGAACTTCTCTTTAGCTCGACTGGTTGAGCGTCAGACTAGTAAGTCAGGGGTCCCGGGTTCGATTCCTAGCGGAGGCATTGAGATGAAAAATGACATCTGTTACAAAGACATCGGTATATTGAGCGTTGTGGTTTTTAAAGACATATCGAAGAGCATCGTGAAAGGTTAAAGGGTAATAAGGAAATGCTGGTTGCAAGATGTATCTCTCTCTGAAGTCCCGTTTATTTGATGTGCCAATATGGGTGAATACTGAAAAAGATGGCCACGACCCGTTTGCCGATTTCAGAAGTTCGAAGGACATCACTTATGACATGCTTTACGCATCTGTTAAAGGTCGTGTGGTGTCCGATGATTTGAGAAGACTATGTGAGTGTAATTTTCATCAACTTTATGACTTTTTAGTTGTGAGGACACAAAAGTTAGACAACGTCGAAATGAAGGGTTCGTGTTACAAAAAACTCCAGTCGTACACCTATTTTATTGAAGGAAATGTTTCCTCGGTTGAAGTCGAAAGGGGTCGTGGAAATACCTGGGTAAAATGCAAGGTGTTAGCATCCATGCTATCCACTTAACGGCTTTAAGATGTACAACGTCAACTCAGGGTACTGTTGGATAAGAGCTGTCAAACGGGTTGTCAACACCTCGCGCCTCGTTTTCAGTTTTTAACCGGAGAAGTTTTTCAAAGGGGGATAATACGAAGTTAGAATGTGAAACGGGTCTATTAAGCTGTTATTAGTCCAAACTATACATTGACATTGTGAAAATGTGCTGATTCACCGTTACGTTGGTCCACTTTCGGCTATATAACATCTAGAGCAAAGGATTGCGTTGGTAGTATAATAGAAAAGGTGTGCTAATCAATCCTAAATCAATACCAGTTTCAGCTTTACTAACTATAGTTAAAATCTGAAGGCTGTCAGCATGGTGGAATTAGGGTTGTGGGGTACCAAGACACCTGTACAACACATGATTCAACCATTCCCAATATGCATTTAGCTCAATGTGGTGTTTTATTTTCGTTTTCGCTCTATGTTCAGAGGTACCAGGTATATGTTTTATAATATTATCGATGAATGAAACGTTTATCTCTACACACACGGTACCTGCTTGTTGGCTGGTGTGGTGGATAGGCGGTTCAGTGGCGCAGTGGTAACGAATTCCCATTTCATCAAGACGTCCGGGGTTCGATTACCGGAAAGGACGTGAAAAGACCACGTGGGCTTTCCCCAGATGCTCCGGTTTCCTCACACAGTAAGACTTCTCACGCGCTTCCATCCAGGCAAAACTGTCGTGTAATCTTAGAATATGTAGTTGTTTCGTTTTCGGCAGGAGGTTTAACGCCACAGCTTTAAAACAGCTGGATGGCGAACACCTCGCGTAAACTTAGCTGTTTATTCTTTCATGCAGGTAAATACAAGGTGGAGTCGAGGCTGGTTTATTATAAATGGGGCTTTCAGATGATGACGTTACAATAAAGGATGCCGCTTAGGATATTGATAATAACCTATTGGTACAACTATTACGCCCTTGTTTGAGAACTTATTAAAGGTAAAAAAGTGTCTACATTCCATAGGTATCATGCATCATGAGTGGACGAGTCGTTCGTTCTGTGCGATAAAAACCAAAAATAAGATAAGTGTTTGAGCACTGCTCACTTTCGAGCACTGGTAAGTTTAGTGTAGTCATGCCATTGACCGATGTGAGAACAAGGTTAACAACAATGGAATCAACATCCTATCACGCATAAAACATGCCCAACTTCATCTACACTAGTCTTCCGTATTTTTGTCTACACCAGTCATCTACACTAGCCTTCCGTACTGTTGTTTACACCAGTCATCTACACTAGCCTTCCGTACTGTTGTCTACACCAGTCATCTACACTAGCCTTCCTTACTGTTGTCTACACCAGTCATCTACACTAGTCTTCCGTACTGTTGTCTACACCAGTCATCTACACTAGCCTTCCTTACTGTTGTCTACACCAGTCATCTACACTAGTCTTCCGTACTGTTGTCTACACCAGTCATCTACACTAGCCTTCCGTACTGTTGTCTACACCAGTCATCTACACTAGTCTTCCGTACAGTTGTCTACACCAGTCATCTACACTAGTCTTCCGTACTGTTGTCTACACCAGTCATCTACACTAGCCTTCCGTACTGTTGTCTACACCAGTCATCTACACTAGTCTTCCGTACAGTTGTCTACACCAGTCATCTACACTAGCCTTCCTTACTGTTGTCTACACCAGTCATCTACAGTAGTCTTCCGTACTGTTGTCTACACCAGTCATCTACACTAGTCTTCCGTATTTTTGTCTACACCAGTCATCTACACTAGCCTTCCGTACTGTTGTTTACACCAGTCATCTACACCAGTATTCCGTACTGTTGTCTACACCAGTCATCTACACTAGTCTTCCGTACTGTTGTCTACACCAGTCATCTACACCAGTATTCCGTACTGTTGTCTACACCAGTCATCTACACCAGTATTCCGTACTGTTGTCTACACCAGTCATCTACACCAGTATTCCGTACTGTTGTCTACACCAGTCATCTACACTAGCCTTCCGTACTGTTGTCTACACCAGTCATCTACACTAGCCTTCCTTACTGTTGTCTACACCAGTCATCTACACTAGTCTTCCGTACTGTTGTCTACACCAGTCATCTACACTAGTCTTCCGTACTGTTGTCTACACCAGTCATCTACACTAGCCTTCCGTACTGTTGTCTACACCAGTCATCTACACTAGCCTTCCGTACTGTTGTCTACACCAGTCATCTACACTAGTCTTCCGTACTGTTGTCTACACCAGTCATCTACACTAGCCTTCCGTACTGTTGTTTACACCAGTCATCTACACTAGCCTTCCTTACTGTTGTCTACACCAGTCATCTACAGTAGTCTTCCGTACTGTTGTCTACACCAGTCATCTACACTAGTCTTCCGTACTGTTGTCTACACCAGTCATCTACACTAGCCTTCCTTACTGTTGTCTACACCAGTCATCTACACTAGTCTTCCGTACTGTTGTCTACACCAGTCATCTACACTAGCCTTCGGTGCTGTTGTTTACACCAGTCATCTACACCAGTATTCCGTACTGTTGTTTACACCAGTCATCTACACTAGTCTTCCGTACTGTTGTCTACACCAGTCATCTACACCAGTATTCCGTACTGTTGTCTACACCAGTCATCTACACCAGTATTCCGTACTGTTGTCTACACCAGTCATCTACACTACGTACTGTTGTCTACACCAGTCATCTACACTAGCCTTCCGTACTGTTGTCTACACCAGTCATCTACACTAGCCTTCCGTAATGTTGTCTACACCAGTCATCTACACAAGACTTCCGTACTGTTGTCTACACCAGTCATCTACACTAGCCTTCCGTACTGTTGTCTACACCAGTCATCTACACCAGTCTTCCGTACTGTTGTCTACACCAGTCATCTACACTAGCCTTCCGTACTGTTGTTTACACCAGTCATCTACACTAGCCTTCCTTACTGTTGTTTACACCAGTCATCTACACAAGTCTTCCGTACTGTTGTCTACACCAGTCATCTACACTAGCCTTCCGTACTGTTGTCTACACCAGTCATCTACACTAGTCTTCCGTACTGTTGTCTACACCAGTCATCTACACTAGCCTTCGGTGCTGTTGTTTACACCAGTCATCTACACAAGTCTTCCGTACTGTTGTCTACACCAGTCATCTACACTAGCCTTCCGTACTGTTGTTTACACCAGTCATCTACACTAGCCTTCCGTATTGTTGTCTACACCAGTCATCTACACCAGTATTCCGTACTGTTGTCTACACCAGTCATCTACACTAGCCTTCCGTACTGTTGTCTACACCAGTCATCTACACTAGCCTTCCGTACTGTTGTCTACACCAGTCATCTACACTAGTCTTCCGTACTGTTGTCTACACCAGTCATCTACACTAGCCTTCCGTACTGTTGTTTACACCAGTCATCTACACTAGCCTTCCTTACTGTTGTTTACACCAGTCATCTACACAAGTCTTCCGTACTGTTGTCTACACCAGTCATCTACACTAGCCTTCCGTACTGTTGTCTACACCAGTCATCTACACTAGTCTTCCGTACTGTTGTCTACACCAGTCATCTACACTAGCCTTCCGTACTGTTGTCTACACTAGTAATCATATACCAGTCATCTGCAATAGTTGTCCGTACTCTAATTTACCTTACTTATTCTTTCTTACTACAATCTACACTTGTCATCACACCAATCATATTCGCTTGTGTCGTCTACACCGGTTGATGTTACGTTACATTTTAGACAAAGTATAAAGCATGCAAATATTGATATGCACAGCACAACGTACTTGTGATTTCTAATTATCTTAGATATAGAGTGTGTTCTTTGGATATAGTAAGTACAAATGCTGCATTGATACGGATGTTTTTACTTCATCGTGCAATAAAAGGTTCTTTTATGGTTAAGTTTTAAAATGCCAAAAGTGGCTAGAAACATACCCGTTGCACAACCGAATGGATTTGCGCATTTCGAATGGATCCTGCAGAAAAAGAGGTTGGCGTATAACCGCCTGATTCGACCCAAATGTGACAACAATAAAATTGGAAAATGATTATTTTATTTCGATGAATTTGTATCATTCTATCTCAGATACCCAAATTGTAGTACAGTAAAAACATGTTCCATATTTAGACATGCTGACTCTGAGTGCACGTTTTTAAACCTACTAAGGCGTTGAACTGGAATAGGTACTCTATCAGGGTAAAGCGCATACTTCTTATGATATACATATGGAAATGCTTGAGAAATAGTAGACAATAACTATTACTGATTTTACCCGTAGGATGAATACACGCTTTCGTTTATTTAGCTGCATTTGGAAAATAATTGAACGCTAGTAATAGTAACGAGTGGCTCTATGTGGCGATTTTTCCGGACACAGGTAAATCCCACATGAAAAGACTTGGGCAGATCAGATGTTGAACTGGACATAATGAACGTTTGAGGGCCAAACTAAACCGAGCAGGTAGAAGCATTAAGCAGTTTGATTCAATGGCGATATCTGAATACGCAGAGACTTCCTCGTATAATTACAGAACTTATTCAGAATGTATTCGCGTCCTGTGTATAGTCTAGTTTTTGAACAGGTTGGTATACGGTTGAGGTACACCGGGGACAAGGTATGTAGCTGTATTGATATAGGAGCCATTACGATCCGCTTCAGTGCGTACCACAGCTCATGGGGAAAAAATTCGTCGGCCTTTGTGTTATTTGTACAAGTATTACCGAAATTTCTTGTCGTGTGCTTAGTTTTTGTACACTAGGAGCCGAGGTATAGCAAGGTATAGATTCAGGTGAGTGCCACGACATTTACCTGAGAACAAAACGGCCAATTTCACTGATTCTGATCGGAACTGTATGTCCATATATAATCCAGAGTCGTCATTCTTAATGGAATTTTCATATACCAAACTGCAATAGAGTAAATGTTAGATTTATTATGAACAAATCTGGAAGATAATGAAAAAATCTGTCAGTTACAGGTAACACATCTATTTACCTGCATACGTAAATACTTTATTTATATAACTGGCTGTATTAGGTAGTGTGTGAAAGCAGCTGTAGTTAAGTATGTGCATTGATGATTGTATGGAGTACTACACTAGTGGATTTAAACACCAATCTACATATAATCTCGTGCTTTGATCTGATATAGGACACGTAAGTCATACATATCAATTAACTTCTGATAACGTGAATGTACATGCATACCTATAATCAATTCTTTCATGAACAAGTTTTCAGAATCAAAAAAAACTTTGAATTCTGAAATTGTCATTTTTAGTTAAATTTATTTCCATACTGTGAAAATTTTTAAAGACAGACATACATGTATATAAGGCAAGCCTAATTTTTTAGATTTGTAGAAGATATCATATAATCATTGTGACATATGTATATTTGTATATTAGCCGAACCTGTATTTTGAGATTTATGTGAATTCACTTATACTCATTGTCATATGTAATTAAACCTGTACTTGACGGATGCTGGTGAGGTTTTTTGTGAGTTAATTTGTGTGACTTCAGTTTGATAATACTGTCCGTTTTTGTGAGCTTTGATGCATCAACTACAAGGTGGCTAACGTTCAGATCAATATTAAATTCAACAGAAAAAGGGAACGGAACGTTATGATATATATTATAGAGATGTTCCCTCTCGACAGTAGACAGCATACCAACAGACTTCGGAACCACGCCACAAACCCGGCCAGTGTTGTCGCAAAACTGCCAATGTATCGGATCACCAACCACTGCCGAGAATTTATCGGACCCTTACCTTTCATCTTCAACGAGGAACTCTACAAACCCCGAGACAACGGGGTGACACTTTCCACACACACAAACATAAATCAGAACAACGACGTCAAACTACTTGTCGCTGAAGTGCTCGGAAGGCGTCTGGTTCCAAACCGTTAAAAATGCTGATATACTGCCTCCTTTGCTGCCGTTCACAGACTACGTCATATAACAATAGGTAGGAGGAGACAGTCCAAACTAGAACCACTTCTTAACAGAGGGACAACGGAAAATAAACCATCTGGTAACTTTGCACAGAAAACCGGAAAGAAGAATACTGCATACGCACCCCAACATCTACATCATCATTCTCAGCTTAAAATCACACAGAATGTGAATGACAGGAGACACTATTCAACCCCGGACGAACAGATACGTCAACGTCGATAACCACCGACCACCCTGAATGACTCGTTATCAGACTTCAAATATCAATCTGATGTCCCACGCCATTTCAACATCACAGCTTCGGAATCATGCATCGACTGTTTCGTGTTAGACTTAATGGTTTGCTATTTATGTTTTAGTAATTACCTGATGTCTGTCGTTTTGTGTATTATCATTGACTGTAACATCATGTCTACAAAAACAGGTGACATTACTATATAGATAGTTGAAACAGGCTATGACTAAGCTTCAAAGGATTTCTTACATTAACAACTTCCTTTCAATTTTCCAGAGTTGGTGTTCATGGAATGAGCCGTACTGCCTACATCCGCTGTTTCCTCGCGGATGGATTTAAATGGGAGTGTGTCCACATGACTTGGCCAAATTTGGCGTAGCGTGAATTCAGTGTCAGGTAAACATAGTCTGAACACATACGTATTTTTCGGTAGTATGTGTGATTAGTGTTTTTAATAATACCTTCTGTATATAATAGATTGCTAAAAACTTTGACCAGCAACTTTTATCTGTCTTTGCCATCGTCAAACTACAACTTATATTTGAAGACACGGAACACGTCTCCGTAAACGCATATTTCAACATTTGTATAAGTTACCTTTCGTTAGTTGTTCTTTATTAACCAGCAGATTTAATGCAGTGGTAGTTTCATAAATATGTTGGTTATATTAATATTAATTCCACAATACTACAGTAACATGGTCAAAACTACTATTGTGTACAATGACTTGTTCTTTACTAAGAAGTGATATCATATAATGTCGCCATGGGATGTTACACAATATCATGAGTACTATATGGTGTTATTGGTTATTATATAATGTCGTCAGTGGTTATTAAGCAATGCCCTAAGTGGGCGGTATATTCTATATGTCGTCAATGGATGATGGTCACTGTACAATGTCGTCGAGATCAGAAGGGGAGTTCGCAATCAGCGTGTATTGGTAAAGCATCCGGCAATGCCGGTAATGTATATATAGTTGACTTGATCATGTGATATATAGTTTATATAAAGTTTTTTTCTTATTGAAGATCCGATGATGATGATGATGATAAACAGACAGAAACTATTACGTCAGAATCTTCTGCGATGTGAGTATTTGAGCCCCATATAATTATCTCAATACAAAAGTACCATCCCTGCATGGTCGGTGATTGTCCCAAAATGACGAGTATCTCTCTTACAATGTTGGTTAATAAAGCTCTCGCGTCTTTTTTAAAAAAAAAATCTAAATGAGTCATGTCACGTTCTCATAGGAGAGGCATGTTAACATTAGCGAAACTGCCAGACATGCCAATGAGAACCGATAAAATCAGGACTGCTATAATATTTTTTACCTGATCTTCACCAGTTTTAATTCTTTATTTGACTCTTTAGTATCTTATTTAAATTCATATTAAAAGGTAACATTCACTTGTGTGTATTTTGTACAATCTTCCATCTCCCGAAACGCGTGTTTACAAATATCATAAGGTAGTAGATCATATCTCAGATGCATAAAGGTATATCATGTGTTTTTGGTATAAGGTACGTTTAATCATCAACATGAATATGAACAAACAGATCGTATTTAAGTGTCGATTGACATTTATCCTTGTGTTTGCTTTGATTATTAAGTTCCTACCTCCGATTAAACGTTTTGTTTTTGTTTCAGGGTTTGTGTTCTTTTTGGTATGCAGTGCATGTATGTGGTTCCTTGCTGTTCGCTTGATTCCGATAACAGTGGAAAACAGCGATGAGAAAAGCAGTTGGCGTTTGAGACTTTTCAAAGTAAACAACACAATATCTCTTTCTTTCAGATCACCAACTGTAAAAACATTTCTAGACGAAGTCCAGAATAGCTCGTCAAAATCTTACTTATTTACGACTGTTTTACAAGGAAACAATACAGATGTAAACAACAACTTGCCGAAGCATTCCACTAAAAATGTGATAAACAGGGCAATCACATCAAGAGCTAACACGACTCTGATTATATTACGAGGAGCGAATACGACCAAGATTACCAATGCAGTTCAAATGGATACCACGTCCAACTCATATAGTGACGTCATGCCAACTCAGAAACCGCCTTCAGATATCGTTCCTCTGAAATCCGCCAATTATAGTGTGTGTGCCATTTTAATGGGAGGCCTTGGTAATCAAATGTTCCAGTTCGCGACTTCGTATGGGCTAGCTGCCCAGAAAAGAATGTCTGTAGCCATTGATAAAACAGCCTATTTGACAAAGGTTTTCAAACTGGACATTGACCAGACGGAAAACTACACTAATATTTGCAAAACATTCGTCGGTAGGGGAGAAAAATTGAACTGTGGATATGATGAAAGAATGACTGCCTTTACATCAAAAAACAATTATAGAGTAGGAGCATATCTACAGTCATGGAAATATTTCTACAACGCGTCTGCGTCTCTTCGCAAACAATTCGTGTTTCATGATAAAATTACGGAAACGAAAAATAAAGTAATTGATTCAGTGTTAAAGAAATATAGTTTTGCATCTCGTTTTAATGTGACTTTGGTAGGTGTTCATATAAGACGCGGGGATTTAGTCAATCACAAGTTTGGATATAGGGTAGCCAGTGAAAGTTACCTCCAAAAATCTGTCGACTATTTTCAGGCGAAGCGACTCAAAAACATCATATATATAATTTGTTCTAATGATGTTAAATGGTCAAAAGCTTATATGCCGAAAGGAATCCGTTCGGAATATGTGGAGGGAAATTCTCCTGAGATAGATATGGCTATTCTTGGTTCGTGTGATCACATGATTAGCACTGTCGGTACGTTTAGCTGGTGGTCAGCTTGGTTGACCGGTGGGGAAGTCACTTTCTACAAATGGCCGGCTAAAGAAGGATCGGCACTGCGGAAACAGTTCAGCAAAGACTATGTGGATTATTTCCATCCTGGATGGATTGGGTTTTCCTAGTCTTCGTTTAAAAAAAGAAAATCAAAAGTTATTGTAACTGTGCGAAGTTACACTTTGTTATTGTATCTATGAGTGAATGACTATATTTCTTTTGTCTGTGTTGTTTACTTGTATGTATTTACATATACTGTTGTCCAGATGAGGCAGCTTATTTCTAGCCACTTTACCTGTGCAGTCGAAGCGGGTGCCTGTTCTATTTATAGCGTATGCTGGTCGAGATATTTTGCGAAAAGTGTCTGTTTGCGTTGTGCAGTATATATTGTATTGTGTAAGAGAGTATGTGATTCAAGTGGCCACTTGGTGAGTAGTGATCCTGTGCTTTGTCAGAAAGTGCCTGACCCAAACTACTGTAGGGTTGTAATCAGTCCCAAGTGATGAAAAATAATGCAATAACTGATTTCACACCTTATAATGTGTTGATTATAATTCCAAATAATTGAAAGTCGTGGGATAAAAAAATTGAGATAGGTCGTTTTGAAATCAGCAACCATTTGAACAACATCATGAAATTTATCATTGCAAATTAACAGGAAATTTTATTTACACTTAATATGTTCCACGTCAAAGTTAAGTTTCATACCAGTTAAACAGCAACTGCATCCTATTTTCTCCCTTGGACACATCAATGTTGTTCTTACTCATGTTTTTAGAAACTATTTATGGTTTAGACTTGCATGGGTTTGGACAAACTGTGCCTTTAGCAACATCTGCTGTAGAAAATTCCCTGATTTGTTAAAACAAGTGGCACTGCCGTGCAATATCAAGTTCTTTCCGTTCAGTGGGTGCAGGAAGTACACCGGCCACAGGGAGAATGTGCTTGTTTCGCAGTAGCGTAAGGAGATAACAGGGTTTCCTTACAAGTGACAACTCCTGGTCCAATGATACTGGCACAAAGATGATATTTGCTGATGTATTTCAGTGGTCTGAAAAATACCTTAATTCAGGTGTGTTTTGCAGTTACTAAACACAACAGGTTTTCAACATCATTGACTAGTTGTATGTTGTGCATAGTTTTGCTTGCCTACAAAACTATATCAGCTGTCTTTAATATATATATTCAAATGACTTTGTATACATGTATCTTTCTGACCTATAACTCGACTTAGTAATATCTAATTGTAAACTTATTGAGACTTACAAACCAGTTACCATGATAGGAAAATGTGTTTTTAATGATTAACACGTGCTTGCAATAATTTGGATTAAGACATGAATGGTACCCATGTCATTGTTTCAGCTTTGAAATTTTTACATCTCATTTCCCAGCCTCTCTGGTTCAAATTTGGTAAGGCCAGCTACCATAATAGTGTACTGTATTCTTCTGTGTAATCATAAAAAATGGGTTTTTTTATGAAAATATACAGCTTATAACCTTTCAAACTCCAGGATATAGTATCATAACATAATCAAATGTATTAAATGTTTTCATTGATATAAATGATTTTTAAACAAAAGGGGAATAACTAAAACAAAAAAAAGGAAAAATCAAATGTTTATTACACTAAAAAGTCAACATTGCTAAAAAAAACTGAAGGTTCTGAAGTATTTCATAATTTGTTAATTAACGGAAAGAAAACTCTCAATAGCAAAGAGACAAGAAAACGGTGAGCAAGAACATTTTGATTTTATTAATGAAAACTGGTTTAACATATAAGCATCGCCTTTACAAATCATACTAAAACTATATTGTCTTTCGCCATATTTTGACTACAAACTCATTTATTTTTAAAAGTTTAAACGATAGATAGTCCTCTCTGCAATCATTGTAATTCTGAAAGGCAAATTCTAGTATATTTAATTTGAAGACTTTTTACCAATTTTTACAGTCTATATATATTACCAAAGACTTTATTAATACACTTACTGTTACCATTGAAACAGATCAACCTCATCACAAATTCATGTTTTCCTGAATCAATGCTCTGAAACCATTCAAGATAACTGATCAAAACGTTTACACTTATTAAGCTAGTAGTATCTCTTGCTATCATGGGGGAAGTTCACTATTTATATACTTTTTCTGTTACCATGGAAACAGATAGACCAAATAACAAAGTTCAGTTTATTTTTTCGACAAGTTCTCTTAAACCGATTAAGGTAATTATCCGTTACTCAAAACTTTGTACAAGCATCAAGCTAGTGCTCTAGGAGAAGTTCTCAGTTTCGATACATGTACTTTGTTTGGAACAATTAAAGATTACAAATAGAAATTAAACTTGTTGTGATATTAACATATATTTATATTGAAAATGTGGTGAATTTTCCGTGCCCAGTAAATATAGAAAAAAATTAAAACACTGGAAAACACATGATGTAAAACATAAGCGCTTTCATTTCTTCTTCAGATATTTACATATTTAAATAAAATAAATAAAAACATGACGTCACTATTGAACGGTATTCATGACGTCACAATCCGTATCTATGTAAATATGTAAAATATCTGAAAGCGCTTATGTTTTACATCATGTGTTTTCCAGTGTTTTAACTTTTTTCTATAAATACATATGATTTGTGTCTTTCTTTTAAACGACGGGGCGCGAGATAATGTCACGTTTTGCGTTATCTTTTCGTTTTCTTCTTTGTCTGCCTTCATATTGTATGATTGTATGTGCATGAATTATTTACATATGGAAACTCCATTATTTCAACTTATAAAAATCACAATTGTTGTAAACTGTGGGAGGAAACCCCTATCCCTTTTGATAATCGAACCCCGGACGGCTAGGTGAAAGTCAAGTCTGTTACAACTGTGCCACCCAACCACAGCCTGATCATGATAATGCATTGTTTTTTGGAAGAAGGAGAAAAATAAGGTCAAAGATTGAATATATGTGAAAAAGCCCGTTTTGTTGGCCAACAATTTCTAGTTTTTATTTGGTTTTATATCCCTCAAAGTGTTTCTTATTAAATATTCTGCTTAAGTATGCTTTAATATTAAGTTTTCATTATTATCAAGTGGAAATTTTCTCAGAAATTTTATTCAGCTCGTATATTTGTCAAATGATGCGTGTTTTGGGACTTTAAATAGATATAGGTCAGCTTAAAATAATGTGGCCTTCGAAAGTGTTATTTGTGCAAGTATACCAACACTGCAGTTTCATCCATTTGAAAAAATAAATATATACATTAAAATAATAAAGGAATGAAAAAAACTTTACTATCTACAATTTTTCCCTTTTTTTGTTTGTTTAGTTGTTTGTTCTCTTATTTATATTATTCATTTGTAATTATTTTCGATCTAAAATGAATTCCAACGAAATATCTAGGACTTTTGTCTTTTTTTATATTTAAATATTTCTCTCGAGTATAACTCTGGAAGTCTTGGGAAGATTTCAACTAAACATTGCATGAATAATCACCACAAATTTTCAATCCGTGAATTTTTGAGTTTAAGGACCCGAAATTAAAAACTTTCAGCTGTTTCTTGATCTTTAAAAAAACTTCCTGGTAAGGTGAATATTGCAAAAAATAAAGCACAGAAATCTCCTTTTTTAAAATAAAAAGTATCCTTGAAAATTTATCTATCAAAACTTCAGGTCTTTAAAAAGGGTTTAATATAAGAAACTGATCAAATAAAAGATTTTTGAACCTTTTCATTTTTTTGTTGCTTTGCAGTTTAAAGCTCGTTACATGAAATGAAGTCTTTGTGTACGTGTACAATTTGTATATGTGCGGTGAGTGAGAGCCCTCTTGCATGAAGACATATATTGTATACATACGTGCTTTTGTTGACATCTAATAAATTTGTTATAAAAGAAAAAAATGAAAAGCATTTTCACACGAATTTTATTCTTAATATCTATGTATCATACCCTTACGTTGTAATGAAGACAGAAGGTTGTCACGAAAATGATAGAGAAAGTCTGTTATTTCGGAAAATTATGAGAATACTATATGGAAATGAACTATTTCTTGTTACACATATTCTGACACCTGTACCGAAAAAGTAGTGCAACAACAAATTCATTTTTTTGCTTTTATTCTTCATTTCTAAAATTAAACTTTACAAAGAATTGATGTTCCTGTGCACAATTAAAATAAAATATGTAGAGTAATTACACATGAAAAATCTTTTCAAAAAATCTATCCATGTGTAGAGTTAAGAGATGATGTGAAAAGAGAAAATATTAGAGCGACGGAGGACATTGAGAAAACGTGTAAACCGCATCACAGGAAAAATATCAGAGCAATGAAGAAAAGGTAAAAATGAAAATAAATACATCAAAGAGAAAATAGGAGTTGGGTGATCACAAAAAGATTGTACTTAAGATACTCAAGTGAGATACAGTTGAGCGAAACAAGTGATCAAATGAAAAGTCGAAATCTGGAATTAGATAAATCTAGTAATTTTCATACATTAGAGAACTTTAGGGAAGTGTCAAGTACATGTGTATTTTCTGAACCGTGCCATGATTGGAATGAAATGAAAGGTGACAAGAAGATAACGACAAACCTTGACTTCAGTTCACAAGCAGTGTCTACCACCTGCTATCTTAAAAATTGTACAAAGACACACAAATGAATGGCATCTTTTCATACTTTAGAGTGAGATACATTACTTAAAAATAGAGTTAAAATTCAGAAAAAAAGTGTTGTAATTATCAAGTTTTCAAAAGTTATTAAGGGAAAAAATCAAGTGATACGCAATGCGATATTAGAGGAAGTTCGGGAACACACAATAGAAGAGAGTGATGTTACACAAATGGACTGGATATAAAACGCAGAGACACTTCATGATGGAGATTATGAACAAAATGATTCGGTACAAAACACAGAGACTCTTGATGATGGCGTTGGTAATGCACTACACGCTATGCCACTGGATACATGTCTTTAACATTTATTCAACAAATTTGACGGAGGATGCAAGATGTCTAAATCAGAGCTTATTAGTAACATCATTGACTGTTTATACAGAGTCGAGGAACATCACATACTCGTAGTTTATTGTGGTTGATAATGCCCCTCATTTAGACAAAAATGATGGTGCTGATGTA